CAGTGACTAGCTACCTGGGAGTCGGGTAACTGTGTAGCGAGTGGTACTGTGTGGTATTGGTAGTTCTTGCTGTGATGGTAATGTGGTTGCAAATAATATTCAGTTGTAATGGTACTTGGGAATAGTGATGGAGATGCTGGATGATAAAGATCAGAATATCCATCATATCCATGATGATGATGATTGTTGAATTCAGTAAGAATATCAATGATGGTGATGGTTGGCACCAGTTAGTGGCCATGACATTGTACCTGCATCATCATCTCTTCGCAGAGTCTGATATTAAGAAAATAATTGCACAAATCACCAATTAATTGTATCGATGAAGAGAGCAATAACTATTAATATCTTTCGGAAATATTTACAAATTGAGAATTAATTCTCTGTATTGTTTTATCTTGTATATTGGAGCTTAATACTTGTGGAGTCTGACATTATTAAAGCAATTATGGTCTGCAGGCCGGCGCCCCCCCCTCCTCCCACACCCCCCATTGGTAGTGGCCTCGCCTCCCCTCGTGCTCTTTGGTGCCATGCTGCCCCCCCCCACTGGTGGCAACCACCCCCCACCCTCCCCACTGGTGGCACCGTCCCCCCCTCCCCCCACTGGTGGCACCACTCCCCTCCTCCACACTGGTGGCACCACCCCCCCCCCTCCCCACTGGTGGCACCATCCCCCCCCTCCCCACTGGTGGCACCATCCCCCCCCTCCCCACTGGTGGCACCATCCCCCCCCCCTCCCCACTGGTGGCACCATCCCCCCCCCTCCCCACTGGTGGCACCATCCCCCCCCTCCCCACTGGTGGCACCATCCCCCCCCTCCCCACTGGTGGGCACCGTCCCCCCCTCCCCACTGGTGGCACCACCCCCCCCCCCTCCCCACTGGTGGCACCATCCCCCCCCTCCCCACTGGTGGCACCATCCCCCCCCTCCCCACTGGTGGCACCATCCCCCCCCCCTCCCCACTGGTGGCACCATCCCCCCTCCCCACTGGTGGCACCATCCCCCCCCCCTCCCCACTGGTGGCACCATCCCCCCCTCCCCACTGGTGGCACCATCCCCCCCCCCTCCCCACTGGTGGCACCATCCCCCCCCCCCCCCACTGGTGGCACCATCCCCCCCTCCCCACTGGTGGCACCATCCCCCCCCCTCCCCACTGATGGCACCATCCCCCCCCCTCCCCACTGATGGCACCATCCCCCCCCCTCCCCACTGATGGCACCATCGTCTCCACTTCCTCAGCTCCCCCCCCCCTACACACGTCACTATCAGTTTCTTGATTGTGAAAATTCCTTTCTTTACAAGTCATTCTCTCTCCATGAAATTGATCAACTGTGCGCCTACTCTTGAGCCAAAATATATTTTCTTTATGCTTAAGTTGCTTCCATCACTAGGAACACTGAGCCTGGTCTTCCCTGCAGCTCTCTACACTTGACAGTTTCACTAATACTCTGCGCCATCGTCATGTAAATGTAGTGTGTGGAGAAGCTAACACACTTCGTGGTAACGTGGTTCACACACTGCTGCTTCTGCTGCTGCCTAGTGCTGCTTCTGCTGCTGCCTAGTGCTGCTTCTGCTGCTGCCTAGTGCTGCTGCTGCTGCTGCCTAGTGCTGCTTCTGCTGCTGCCTAGTGCTGCTTCTGCTGCTGCCTAGTGCTGCTGCCTTGTGCTGCTGCTGGTGCTGCTGCTAAGTGCTGCTGCTGCTGCCTAGTGCTTCTGCTCCTGCTGGTGCTGCTGCCTAGTGCTGCTGCCTAGTGCTGCTGCAGCTGCTTCTTAGTTGTGGTGCTGCAGCCTAGTGCTGCTGGTCCTGCTGTCTATAGTGGTGTTGCTGCTGTTTGTTCATTTTTCCGTTCATTTTGTTCTCTCCAAGACTTTGGTGAAACTGGTCGCACTCATAATGAACTCTGTACTTGTACTTTATAAGACATTAAACAAATTTTCTAGGAAATATGTCTGCTTCATAGCATTTAACTAAAGGTGGTTCTGTTTATACGCTGAACATGGCTAGTGTCAATCTATCTGCAGAGGTCTGTTCATAGCTATCCAATAGCGGTAAATACATATTTCTGGTAAGCAATATATTGCTAAATTGTAAGAAGCATTGTTTTTGAAGTTCGAAGTTATTTAACAAAACCTAACCTTGCGTACCCTGAAGTAGTTAGACTTACCCAAATCAGACTCGATTCTAATGAGAACTAACTAACCAGTCCAAACATTACCACACCTAACAACCAAACAAGACCAAATGTAATATAATCGAAACAAACCAAGCGTGCGTAAATCAAACCCAATCAGACCTGACCAAACGTCTGCGCCCGGGTATCTCCCCCCACTTTCTCCTTCCCCCAATCTCTTCCCTCTTATTCCATATTTCTCAAAATTTCTTCCCAAGATCCTCTCTTCTCCTGCCCTCTCCACCAATCTCCTTCCTTCATCTTTCTTTCCCTACTCTCCACCCCTCATCTCTCTTATTCTCTCCCCCCTCCCCACCTCTCTTATTTCCTCTCTCTTTCCCACTCTTCAAACATCTGACCTCTCCCTCCCTCTTTCAGAAAATTATGTAACGAATTTGTGCAGCTACTCTAGACTATATGAAGGGGAGTACAGTGTCACAAAACTTGCTACGTGGTGCTAAAAAGTCCCCCATCACACAGGATGGCTAGTCATACAGAGGCATGTGATCAATAGTCTGCACTGACAGACTCTGGGAGCATTATGAGGATATCATCAACACAAGAGTGAATAAGGTAGCAGTGGTAATACAAGTCCCCATCTCGCAGGATGGTTAGTCATACAGAAGCATGTGATCAGTAGTCTGCACTGGCAAATTTTGGGTGCACTATGAGGATATCTTCAAGAACACGAGAGTGAATAAAGTAATTGCAAAGCTCCAGGTACCTCATGCCAATGTGTCTGAATGATCTAATAACTGAGTATTCGGTGATGTAGTGTGGGAGATCATGCCGCAGTTCCTGCTCACAGAGTTTGCACCTGGAGTGCTCAGGATTGGGAGCACTTAAGCTGTTAAATACGTCTATGGGCAACACAACCAGTATTTCAGATTTGATTAAATGAAAACTGCACATGGGTTGGGGATGGGATAGTTACCGACATTTCTTAGTGTAGGGCACTGTACCGAGCCAGAGTGACCACTTCCCTACCCAACAAGCTTCATGTGTGAAAGTTGGGTGAGCCTAGCCGCAAGCGTCTGGCCTCCTTCCTTGGAGAGAGACAGACATTCAAAATAATCAAGCGAAGCTTAAATTATCAGAGAAGGTACAGCAGAACCTGGCATGGAAAAAGTAATCGTTGTTTTAGAGGTTGTTCTTTTAGATTTAGCTACTCAGAACAAAATGTCCATGTAGCACGGGCTATGGTGAACCCGTCCGAAAAGTAATCCAATATGGCAGTATATACACTGCCTGCATAGGTGAGGTGGACATACGTACATACGTGAGTGAGTGAGTGAGTGAGTGAGTGAGTGAGTGAGTGAGTGAGTGAGTGCGCGCGCGCGTACACACGCACACACACGCGCGCGCGCACACACGCACACACGCGCGCACACACACACACACACACACACACACACACACACACACACACACACACACACACACACACACACACACACACACGCACACGCACACACACACACACGCACACACACACACACACACACGCACACGCACACACACACACACGCACACACACACACACACACACACACACGCACCCCCACCCCACACACACACACCCACCCACCCACCCCAACCCGTTCTCGCAAATTTAATAAGTCAATATTGACTTATTAAAAATATGCATAGGTGACATACTTAACATAATAGATACCCTTAAAAAGATTCATAGAAATCACCGACCTTACCTAACCTACTTAGTATGTTAAGATAAGCATCTTATTGCTTCGTAATTACAATTATTACCTAACCTATAATAGGTATAGGTTAAGTAATAATTGTAATTACGAAGCAATAAGATGCTTATCTTAAGATACTAACAAGGTTAGGTAAGGTCGGTGTTTTCTATGAATCTTTTTAAGGGTATCTATTATGTTTAGTATATCACCTATGCACGTAGTTAATAAGTCAATATTGACTTTACGAATTTGCGAGAACGGGTTGCCCACCCACCCACACCACTAGGAGGGTTACCAGGCGGTGCCTGGGATAGTCAATCTCTTGCCCCGATTTCCCATTCCACCCCTCTTCCCTCCACCCCTCTCATCTCTCCGCCCTCCCCCCTCCCCCTCACCATCTCCCCTCCATTTTCCAAACATTTCCATTTATTTATATAGAAGGGGTACCCGGCTGCACCCGGGTCTTTCCACCCTTTCCCTCCAGTCTCTCGCACTCATCACACCATCTCCCCCCTTGACCCCCTCGTCCCATGACACCCCCCCCCCCTCGTATGTATCTCGGAAAATCTATTATTACGATCACTAAAAACTTTACGGGAATTACAAAATATATTTCACACCTGACTCCATAAAAATCGCCTGGGGATTTATAATTGCTAATATTTTTTAAAACGTTTAAATTAGGGTTACCCCAACCAGCCTATGTTCGTCCCGTACCCCAGACCATTCCTCCCTGCAAATTTGGGCGAGGCTAGCCCAAAGCACCTGGCCTCCAACTTTGGACACACAAATATCCTTCATAATATAACTTTATAATTAATTATTGCTCATCCAGCTGACTCCTACATCTTACTACTACTACGCTATTAATCAGTTTTTAGTATCTATGAGACTTTACATTGGCGATGTATACCTTGGATTTACACCTGGAGCAGAACCTTGGATGTAAACTGTTGACAGTTATTCGCACATCCTGCGTTGCTATGTGATGGAGGAATGTGAAAGAATTAACTATAAATTCAATATTTGTATCGCAAATGTTAAAGAAATGTGTAATTGAATGAAAATTATGTATTGCAAGAAATCTCCACTTTGCTTACTGAAGGAAGCGCTGATGACTTTAACCTTACCACCGGCGCCCACTGAATGGGTGTGGGGCTGCATGATTGACAAATTAAAATTAAATGTAACTAGCTCATCACAAATGTGGTTGAGGTCGAGTTGAAGGAACTCATCTGAAGCAGGGTCTTGAAGCTTGTATGGTGGAGGAACCCATCTGAGGCTGGGTCTTGAGGCTTGTATGGTGGAGGAACCCATCTGAGGCTGGGTCTTGAGGCTTGTATGGTGGAGGAACCCATCTGAGGCTGGGTCTTGAGGCTTGTATGGTGGAGGAACCCATCTGAGGCTGGGTCTTGAAGCTTGTATGGTGGAGGAACCCATCTGAGGCTGGGTCTTGAGGCTTGTATGGTGGAGGAACCCATCTGAGGCTGGGTCTTGAAGCTTGTATGGTGGAGGAACCCATCTGAGGCTGGGTCTTGAAGCTTGTATGGTGGAGGAACCCATCTGAGGCTGGGTCTTGAAGCTTGTATGGTGGAGGAACCCATCTGAGGCTGGGTCTTGAAGCTTGTATGGTGGAGGAACCCATCTGAGGTTGGCTCTTGAAGCTTGTATGGTGGAGGAACCCATCTGAGGCTGGGTCCTGAGGCTTGTATGGTGGAGGAACCCATCTGAGGCTGGGTCTTGAGGCTTGTATGGTGGAGGAACCCATCTGAGGCTGGGTCTTGAGGCTTGTATGGTGGAGGAACCCATCTGAGGCTGGGTCTTGAGGCTTGTATGGTGGAGGAACCCATCTGAGGCTGGGTCTTGAGGCTTGTATGGTGGAGGAACCCATCTGAGGCTGGGTCTTGAGGCTTGTATGGTGGAGGAACCCATCTGAGGCTGGGTCTTGAGGCTTGTATGGTGGAGGAACCCATCTGAGGCTGGGTCTTGAACCATTAATATGGGTGTGTACTCTGTCGCTCCGTTGAATAATTATCATAATTATGTAATGTGCGTGTTCCCTGTCTCTCTCTCCCGTACTCACTGTGAGAGAGAGAGAGAGAGAGAGAGAGAGAGAGAGAGAGAGAGAGAGAGAGAGAGAGAGAGAGAGAGAGAGAGAGAGAGAGAGGAGAAACAACGGAAAACAGTAATGTGGGAATTGAGATAAAAGGAAGTTTACTTCATTTAGTCTGTGGCTGCTCTCATTCGTAGAGGTGTGGGTGTGTGTTCTTACGTAACATAAGCACTTAACTAAGAGTCTGCAGGTCCTGGGCCTCGACTTTCCAACGGTTAGTCGACTAATGTAATGACTCCCAGCGCTATTTTTTTTCTATTGTGATTACTGTGTGTAATGAAGTAAGGGCGAAGAGGTAGAACAGCTTATTGATAGAGCTCGGGTGCATGGGGGAATTGTGTAAAATCCTGGTTTGTGTCTCGGAGAGGCTGCAGGATCCGAGTAAGGTCAGTAGAACTTCCGGTTGCAATTCTTTTTACCATGTCGTAGCTCAGTCGATTAAGGGAGAATCTGGGATCCTCTCGGACGCAGGTTCGAATCCTCGTCACAGCCCTTGTTGATTTGTTCATTTGATGCATCACGCTATTGTGATTTCTGTGTTATATAGTCATAATGGCTTGGCGCTTTCCCCTGATAATTCACCCTCCATTCCTTCTTTTCACCTTACTGCTCTTCCTGCCACTTGTGTTTCCATCACCACCTTATACTTGTTGCTGAACTTCAACTCTGTCAAGGTGTCTAACCATACCTGCAATTTATCCACGTTTTCTTGTCGAATCCTGCATCCCTCATTCGACCAGTCTCTCCTCACTAAGACCAGTCTCTCCTCACTATGACCAGTCTCTCCTCACTATGACCAGTCTCTCCTCACTATGACCAGTCTCTCCTCACTATGACCAGTCTCTCCTCACTATGACCAGTCTCTCCTCACTATGACCAGTCTCTCCTCACTATGACCAGTCTCTCCTCACTATGACCAGTCTCTCCTCACTATGACCAGTCTCTCCTCACTATGACCAGTCTCTCCTCACTATGACCAGTCTCTCCTCACTAAGACCAGTCTCTCCTCACTAAGACCAGTCTCTCCTCACTAAGACCAGTCTCTCCTCACTATGACCAGTCTCTCCTCACTATGACCAGTCTCTCCTCACTATGACCAGTCTCTCCTCACTATGACCAGTCTCTCCTCACTATGACCAGTCTCTCCTCACTAAGACCAGTCTCTCTTCACTAAGACCAGTCTCTCCTCACTAAGACCAGTCTCTCCTCACTATGACCAGTCTCTCCTCACTATGACCAGTCTCTCCTCACTATGACCAGTCTCTCCTCACTATGACCAGTCTCTCCTCACTATGACCAGTCTCTCCTCACTATGACCAGTCTCTCCTCACTAAGACCAGTGGTATAAGCACGCTTGATGTTTGTCAACTCATAAGAGTAAGAGGCTGAACATTGTCAGTCTTCAGTCTAAAATGAAGATGAAAATTTAAAATAGTAAAATGGTTTCACTGTTTGTCTTAATATCATAAATTGGTGTTGGTTTTTGTTAATTTCACATGTGATGGTGACACCTGATGATGGTGACACCTGATGGTGGTGACACCTGATGATGGTGACACCTGATGGTGGTGACACCTGATGATGGTGACACCTGATAGTGGTGACACCTGATGGTGGTGACACCTGATGATGGTGACACCTGATGATGGTGACACCTGATGGTGGTGACACCTGATAGTGGTGACACCTGATGGTGGTGACACCTGATGGTGGTGACACCTGATGATGGTGACACCTGATGGTGGTGACACCTGATGGTGGTGACACCTGATGGTGGTGACACCTGATGGTGGTGACACCTGATGGTGGTGACACCTGATGATGGTGACACCTGATGATGGTGACACCTGATGGTGGTGACACCTGATGGTGGTGACACCTGATGATGGTGACACCTGATGGTGGTGACACCTGATAGTGATGACACCTGATGGTGGTGACTATGATGGTCAAGGAGAGAACATAATAAGTTGACAGTAGCATAATCCACGCCGAGTCCCACTCAACCTTCGGTAATGTCAAGGGTAACCCAGCAGGCAGGCGGCGAGGTGGAGGGATTACTTATACTTGGTGCCAGTTCAACTCTCCCAACCCGAACAGGGGAACACGAAGGCTTTTCTGGTGATAACTTGATCGGATATGCTGTTGGTGCCAGCGACCAGCTGGACCACATATAACCATCTTCAGTGTTTCTTTTCAAGCACAAGTAAGAGAGTACAATTAGGTAAGTACACTCTAGAGTGGGCTTGGGTGGGTGAGCGTGTGTCGTGTAGGTTGGTGGGGGGCGTGTGTACATTTGTGCGTGAAGGGGAGTAATTAATGACGGTGTAGCGAGGTGAGAATGCGCATGTTCCCTGCCCGGGGCCGCGGCATTAGCATACACATCGCCTTGGAAGGAGCAGCGCTGCCACCGCTCCTACTTCATCCTCCCCCTCCACCTGTTGTCCTCCTGCGTTATCTTCCAACGGTCTACATTTCTCCATCCTAACACTCTCACTCCTCTTACTGTTGCTCGCCGTCAGCGCCGTCAGTCTGAGTGTGTGGCAGCTTGTTGGTGGCGTCGAAGGTGGAACACCGATGTGCTGGTCGTATCACAGACAAGAGAGCCAGAGACGTTGGTATCACTGCAGCCTGCTCAACTGCCCGGCAAGAGTCAGCCATTTTTTTTTTTAGAAGATTTAAGGTCAACATAATTTTCATGCATGCGCCATCTCCGCGGGATTGTTGAGGTTGTGACCTGCTGGGCAAGTGACCTGACCTGCCAGTCTGATGGATCAGTCATCGTGTCCCAAACCCCAGGAAATCCCCCATCCTGGTCCCGTCACTGAGCAAGTGAATCATTGTGGAACACGGGATTCGTTGGTTTTTACACTGTGGAGAGATGCATACAGAGGGGGAGTGAGAGAGGGGCGAGGGAGGGTCAAAGAAGATAAAAATATGGTTTCACGGGGCAGAGGATTCTTCAAGTGGATGCATTTTTTGATGGTTGAAGATCAAGTGTTCTCTGTCTTCATAGCCAGAGAGAATACATTAGCCGGTGTGGACGTTGCCCTGAGAGCCCCTGCAAGGGGGGGGGGAGGGGAGGGGAGAAGTGAAGATGGGTGGGGGTCGGACGGACGGACGGACGGACGGACACACACACACACACACACACACACACACACACACACACACACACACACACACACACACACACACACACACACACACACACACAGAGGAAGAGCTGTCTAACTCCCAGGTACCTATTTACTGCTAGGTAACAGGGGCATCAAGGTGAAAGAAACTCTGCCCATTTGTTTCCGCAATCGCCGGGGATCGAACCCGGTCCCTAGGCTTACTAGTCCAGAGCGCTGTCCACTCAGCTATCAGGCCTGTGTGGGGGGGGGGGGGGGGAATTGATTGACATTTGAGAGGCGGGCCAAAAGAGCCAGAGTTCATCCCCCGCAAGCACAACTAGTTGAATAAAATTAGGTGAATACACATCTGGAAAGAAGGGACATTGTAACGTGTCACCAGCATGGGTTCAGGGAAAGCAAGTCTCGTCTCACAGGCTTAATAGAATTCTATGACCAGGCAACAAGCATTAAGCAAGTAAGAGAAGGATGGGCAGACTGCATTTTCTTGGACTGTCAGAAAGCTTTTGACACAGTACCCCATAAGAGACTTTTGCGTAAGTTAGAGAAAGTAGCTAAAAGGCGAGCCCTTAGACTTGCAAGGATTGAGCTTTGGTTCTTTGGTCCCGCCTCTCAACTACCAATCAACTGGTGTACAGGTTCCTGAGCTTATTGGGCTCTATCAAATCTACATTTGAAACTGTGGATGGAGTCTGCCTCCACCACATCACTGCTTAAAGCATTCCATTTGTTAACTACTCTAGAAAGAATTTCTTCAGCGTCAATGTCTCTGTGGTTCATTTGGGTACCCTGTGTCCCCTTGTGCGTGGTCCACCCGTGCTAAATAGTTTCTTTGGCCACCCTGTCAATTCCCCTGAGAATTTTGTAGGTGGATATCATGTCTCCCCTTACTCTTCTGTCTTCCAGGGACGTGAGGTTTAGCTCCCTTAGCCTTTCATCGTAGCTCAGACCTCTCAGTTTTGGGACTAGTCTGGTGGCATACCTCTGAATCTTGTGTATGTACTCACCTAGTTGTGCTTGCGGGAGAAGAGCTTTGGTAGGTGCTCTGGTGGGTGTGTGTGTACACTCACCTAATTGTGATTGCGGGGGGTTGAACTCTGGCTCTTTGGTCCCGCCTCTCAACCGTCAATCAACAGGTGTACAGGTTCCCGAGCCTATTGGGCTCTATCATATCTACACTTGAAAGTGTATATGGAGTCAGCCTCCACCACATCACTGCCTAATGCATTCCATTTGTCAACCACTCTGAAACTAAAACAGTTCTTTCTAATATCTCTGTGGCTTATTTGGGCACTCAGTTACCACCTGTGTCCCCTAGTGCGTGTGCCCCTTGCGTAAAATAGCCTGTCTTTATCTACCCTATCAATTCCCTTGAGAATCTTGAATGTGGTGATCATGTCCCCCATAACTCTTCTGTCTTCCAGCGAAGAGAGGTTTAATTCCCGTGTGTGTGTGTGTGTGTGTGTGAGTGAGAGAAATATATGTAGTAGACAGAGGAAAATAGATTGGTTAGAAAAGTGGGGTTCAAGAGCTAATTGCTCGGTTCTGCAGGCACAAATGGTAAATAAACGCTCTGTCCCGCAAGCAGAATTAGGTGAGAACTCTCATACAGAAAGACAAATATACCCACAGATATTATATATATATATATATATATATATATATATATATATATATATATATATATATATATATATATATATATATATATACATATACACACACATGCCCCCACATTGGCACCA